AGGTCAATGGAGTAAGTACGCACGATGTTGCAATGGAAAATTCACACCTTTTGTCCCTGCGACCTGTTCTCACTTTTTGTCCCTACAGTTTTTATTAGGGTCTTTTTAGGGTGGGGGGGGGGGGGGGGGGTGCATTGGATGTATTGGTTACGTTCTTGATGGCAAATTTTTGAAAACAACCATGATTATGCAGTCTGAAATAAACTGTATAGAGTGTTTTCACTCACGTGACAAGGCAGCCATATTGGTGTACCAAACAATAGAAACTTTCTGCACAGTTTCTGCATAAAAATTTATTCAATTCCTGGATAGAAAATGTATTGTTTTGGTACCCCATAATGGCCGCTGTGACGTCACGGTGAGATGGCCCAATGGTGACTTTCCTTGCTGATAAACTTCTAATCTGATTTCTAGATACGAAAATGGGATTTAAGAATGCAACGAATAGTGCGAGAATACCATGGTCACGTGAACCAGAATACCTTGAGATTGCCGATCTTTGTCGACTCTACAGATTCCCTCTTGTTCGCAGGTAAAATTGCCTTTATATACCTTAGCGTTTAATTAAGCAGCTATCTTAAACCCGTTGACCTGATAATAACTAAAGTGTGTTTCTGTTCTAGCTGGTGAGGACTCACTTACTCGAGTATGGAGTGTGCGCACTGGAGAAATAGTTCGTACCATTCCTTACCCGGATAAAGAGAGCAAACAAATCGTTCAGGTTCCTGCTCTTTGTTATAGTGATGAGTGGGGAGGACCTGGGGGATTGCCAGGGCTCATGTATGCAACCAATGACAATGTACGTTTGTATAGCACGTGATCAGATTAGATTAGTAAATTTATTTTGGCTATCAAAGGTTGAAGACCGGTCACAATGTAAATTTCCTATAAAAGGATAATCGAGTTACAAGTTCTTTGTGACTAGTTAGACTCGATTCTGCCTAGATAGATGGTGTGTGTGTGTGTAAGGAGGGGGGGAGGTCAACCAGAGAAAAACCATCAAAAAAACGTTTTTCAATCGGATGTTCCCTATATCTTTTTTATATCTAAAATATCGACTGTCAGTATTTTCCGTTTTTTTTCTTTGGTTAGTCTCTCCTCTCGACCCCGGTGCAAAGTATTTTGGGTAATGTTTAAGTAGATGATAATATATTCATACAAAAGTCATGATCAGTTTTCATTTTTACGCACGCGCACTCTCTATCATTTATTTTTAAATAATACTTTATTTATCCTAAATTATTCATGAATTATTCTCATTTATAAAAACATAAACACACATCTATCATTCGCGTATTGAAGGTGAAAATAAACCCTTCGACGTAGGGGACAATCTTTAAAATAGGGAAATAATTTGCCCAAAAAGAAGAGCATTTCACAAAAAGTCTTAATTCGGGTATAAGTGAATGAAGAGTACAATTAGTTTGACTGTGAAACGGTATGGTACTGAATTATTGACGATGCCCCTTGAACCAATCAAAGCACTCTAGACCACTTCTTATCCAATGAAAATACCGGGTTTTCACAGTCGTAGGAAATTTGCTCTAATTCATGGTTCAGACTCCCCTTAGTTACCGTTGCTATGTCAACGAATTATCTAGAATATCTCRAAATTCAAAACTCTGATTTCAGAATGTTGATTATAAATTGTTTCAATAGTTTACTGTCTTGAGAAACGAATTGAAAACTGTCCTCATTATCCTTGTAGTACTGTGTAGTTGTTTGTGGGACAAGATTTTATATCCACTTGGAAAACTGCTGCAACCGTGATTTGATCGCTATAGTGGGAGTCAAAAACATGAATAAGAGTAATCAATAGACTATGAAGGACATCTGTCCTTCGTTTTCTCTTGGAGTAATCTATGACTTGCCTCTAAACAAGTCAAAACTGTCAATTCAACAAGTCAATTTATCAAATAAAATAATACTACATTTTGATTCAATCCGGTTTCAAGGTTCTGTCAGGTGTTGCATATGTATGACAAAACATTACGAGTTGAGGGTATATCAAGGGACACCTATCGATTGTCCTAACATCAGCCGCCGCGCCATGAAGGCAGGCCAAGTGCTGTAATAATCCAGTTTGTAATGTGTTCTACAGGGTTAGTCTTGATTTCGTATGGAATATATTGGAATATTCATGTGTTCTAGTGAACGTCCGTGGAATTTCAAAGTGTTTCTATTGTTTCTAACGTTCGTATTAGTGGATATTTAGATACTAAAATGAGGCTAACTCTGGGTAAATGAGTCTATAATCGAGGAACACAGCGGTATTTGACTAATTCGAAAATGGCCTATTACCTCGCAGTTTTACTCCTATTTCTAAAACTCCCTGATGCTCAATTAAAAATCCAATTATTATGCCTGTTCTCCTTTCTTAACGCACTTATCACACACCCGCACAGGCTGATCCCATCCCTTGGAAGGCACAGGTCTTCGAGTCTTGGAACATCCATCGCAGACACCTTGTCCACATGAACGACAATGATGCTTATAATCCTTATCCGTGTCGCAAATAGAACATGAAGTGATTTCTGAATCAGGCACCCAGTAACTAGGCCGGGCAGCGTCTGTAAGGATTTCCCGCGGGTAATACAGTGCGGTCCCGAGGGTTTCCACAGCAGTCTGTACACCTTCTATCATCTTGCGTGCAGCCATGGGCCCTAGTGTCTTCTCGACTAATGTTCCATCGTTTCGTGAAGTAGAGTCATCGTCGTCTAAAGCATCAGCTAGTTGGCTGTATGAACAAGATTAATGAACAGTTTTAAAATATTTAACCACTTTTGGCATTTGAAACACCCGAAATATTATTTTTATCTTTACCAGTAGCGCGTGAAAAAGTACATTCATATGGGTGAGGTATAAACAAATAATCTTATGACAGTGTGGTCTTAAGTGGGAAAAGATTACACCCGAGGTAGAGGCCTATCATATAAATAGGTTTCATCAGCGGCATTCACACGTACGACTTACATAAAACAGACTAAATGTCAACCTGTTGATACATTTTGTTAGACCAACCTTTACTCTAACCCACCTTAAATCACAAGACGGTGGCAGTTCATCTCCCGCGGGATTCCCTTCAAAGCATGTATCACACACGCGAACAGGTTGATCGCCCCAGCCTCGTTCAGCTACTGGTTTCTTATTGGACGAACAGTCGTCGCAGAAACCCTGGCCACAGACACGACAATGGTGTTTCTTCTCGTCGTCGTTAAAGGGACGTTGACATAGATGACAAGCCTGGAAATGAATTTCTTTAGATCAGTGACATGGTGAGATTGAGTAGCCAATACGAAAATTCAGATTTCTATAATTTCATATTGTTCTTAACATGAAAAGTAGAAACGTTTAAGAAACTCTGCATTGTTTAATGTCTGAGCAAAGAAAAGCGCATTGCGATAAAATGATTCTCTCCATGGCTTATACTGATGGCTGGGTTCGCTGTGGTTTTGGCGGGAACGCCAACCGCCGCTCTCTCCTGCCCAAGGATTCTCTAATTTCAAATCTAAGAAAATATTGGTTTAGTTTGTGACTGATTGAGATTACTCACCGTGATTTGTGCATTTGGAACCCAGTACTCAGGGGCAACTTGATCAGCGATCCAGTCCGAGACAGCTCGACTGGGTGGCGCACTGTACGTACCGACCGTCTGTGATACGTATTTGACACCATCCAATACTCGACGCGCTACGTTACTTGAATCAACTGAAGACGTGATTTCCTTGAGGAAAAATGTACATTATTAAAGTGCTACTACGACGAAAATCGCTCMAACTTGGATTCAGCTGAAACTTCCTAAAAATACTCTTTAAAGGTCCAATAATCACTGTATGAAGTGTTTTCTCGATATTCAGGACGAAAGTATGATATTTTTACGATTATTTTTTGGAGTCTGTGACGTCATACCCTCAACATC